ATCAGTCGGTGATCGACGCATATCACACTCAGTACCGCCACTACCCAAATTATCGCGTCATCCACGCGACACTGTGGAGTGGCAAGACCGTTCTCTTATACTTTACTCCCTCGGTGAGAACAATCTCGTGTACTGGCATGGCAGATCAGGTCAATTAGAACCACGTATCTACGTTCCCTCCACCAAACAACTTTGTGTTCAGGATGTGGCAAAGTTCCATGACCAGGCAGTTGTCGGTCATATGGGTTTCCACAAGACGTTGACTCGTGTTTGCCGCCAACGACTTCGTCAAAGCCTACATTCAGGAGTGTCCTACCTGGCAGGAGGTGAACAGTGCGAACCACCTGCCGTATGGGTTACTTCAGCCCTTACCTATACCCAAGGGTCATTGGCAGTCCATCTCGATGGATATCATTGGTCCCCTACGCCCACCCACTGAGCGTGGTTATGATGCTATCTTGGTCGCCGTCGATCGCTTTACGAAGCGTGCACGTTTTATCCCGTGTCGTTATCGCATTAGCGCTCGTGAGGTCGCCAACATCGTCTTCGACCGAGTCGTGAGAGATCACGACTTACCTCAGAGCATCAACTTCGACTGTGACCCGCGCTTTACCAGCACATTCTGGCGACGCCTACACGAGGTGTACGGATCCCAGCTCCGCTTCTCATCATCTTACCTCCCTCAGACGGATGGTCAGACTGAGGTCACCAATAAAACTCTCGGTAATATCATCCAAAAGGTTGTCAGGGATGACCAACAGTGAGACTTACGGTTAGCTCACGTGGAGATTGAGTACAACCACGTTGTTTCACCAGCCACGGGGATGTCGCCATTCTATTGTGATCTCCACTACCACCCTCGCGTACCCGCAGACTTCCTACGACCATCGCGGTTGCGCCCAGACACTCATTGTCCAGCGCTTGACAACTAAATCGCCCACATGGCGGCGATTATGAAGCGCGTACACGAGAGCCTAGCCGACTCGCAGACTCGCATGACCGCACGAGCAAATCGATCACGAATGGATCATCCATTCAAAGTCGGCGACGATGTGCTCATCGACGCACGCCACTTGCAGCTCGAAGTGGATACACTTCGCAAGTTCAAGCGTCGTTTCTTCGGTCCATGCCGCATCCTTCAGGCCGTCGGTTCTCATACTGTCGTTAGTCCGGTCAGCTTCCATGTGAAGCAACTTGATTATCTTCAACAGGCTCGTGGACACGATGTTTACCACGTCTCCTTGTTGAGTCCTTATCGCAAACCATTTGAGCGTTTTGTCGGACGCCCTTATGAGCGCCCTCCACCTATCATGGTGGACGATCACGAGGAGTTCGTCGTTTCCGACATCATATCTCGCCGAGTTACCGACGATACCCCTCCACGAATCGAGTACCTTGTGCGTTGGAAAGACTATCCTGATGAGGAGGCTACTTGGGAGCCCCTCGAGCACTTGGAGCACGCCCGGACATTGGTGCGTGCATATGATCGTGCTCGTGGTGCTGAGACATTTGCTCCTACTCAGCCGACTGACCCTCTTCCTCCTCCTCCGACTGAGGAGATTGCTGAGGACAAACCCGCTCCCTCTGAGGTCATTCTGCAGCAACAGACGGACACCTCCGCGCGTCCACAGCGCACTCGTCGACGCCCTCGGCGTTTCGACGATTGACACTCTGATCACCTACTATCTCCCTACTGACTCACACCATCAGGTACTCCATCATCATCTTCTTCAGGATGTCAGCGTTTTGCGGTTCTGCTTCGACATCAACTCGACACCTACTTCATCGACGTCATCGACCACTTCGACGACTTCAGTCACCTTCTCGACTTCAACCATCTTATCGGTTTCAGCTACTTTGGACGTGACTACTTCACACCACCACCCTACCCTGTACATTCCCTTGCATTTGTCGCAGATTGGTTCTCTCTTAGCTGGGTCTCTTTGAGTTGGGCTCTCCCTTGCGAAGGCGAGCTAACCTCAAAAACCCGGTCTCAGTTCGGATTGCAGGCTGCAACTCGCCTGCATCAAGGCGGAATCGCTAGTAATCGTCGGTCATCCATACGGCGGTGAATCCGTTCCCGGGCCTTGTACACACCGCCCGTCACACTATGGGAGCTGACCATGCCCGAAGTCGTTACCCTAACCTTAAATTACTTAAGGAGGGGGACGCCGAAGGCAGGGCTAGTGACTGGAGTGAAGT